TTTCAACATTTTTCACTGATGATGTAATGGTTAAACTACCATCAGCAGAAGATGTTGTGGACAGGTTCGCATAAAACAGATAAACAAGAAATGGATAATAAGGAACTTTATGTCCCTCATCTAGCAACCTGTCTAACCCAACATTGTGAAGGATAGACTCAGTGTTATACATGAATAACTCAGAATATTTGATATATCTGGTAGGAATGATTTTCAATTTGCACAGTTCCCTGTATTTCCTAACAAGAGATTTAAAGAGTAGATAATCCTCATAATGTGAGGCTTTTATAGATGAGGAACTCGACTCTAGTTTTGATCTCTTTTTAGGGGGTTTGGGAGGCATGATGAGTTAGGGTTAAACAGATAGAAGAAATTTTTTCAATTTCCTGTAAACAAAAATAAATTTAGAGCAAATTAACAAAATGCCCTAAAACTAAAACCCTAGATGAGAAAGTAGACATAAGAACTCAGAAATCAAAAGGTAGAGGAAGAAATTACCTACAAAACTGATGAGAAATGACTGAAAGTAGCAGCGGTTGAAACCAAACGGGCGACCGAAAACTTTTGGAACCCTAGGTCTGCGATTTCAAAAAGAGGAGGAAGAAGAGGGGTCGGGTGTTTTAGGAGAGAAGACAACGGCTGGGATTGAGGGGATGATAGATCAAGGGTGATGTAGAGTTCGGGTTTAAAAACAGAATCCAATAACAAAAATAAAAACCCGATAAAGAACCAAAGTTCGCTCCAGAAAATTAATTCGGTCGACCGACGCGGTCGACCGGATCAATTACAGAAAGATCGTCGATCGACCGGGTCGGTCGACCGAGGGAGGGTAAAAGAGACAGGTAAAGGAAAATTTGTTTTTGAGAGATTTTTTCAAAGTAAACCTTTTGGAAATTTGTTTTATAACATATTAAAGGTTTTATAAGATATATATAAATGATTTTGACTATTAAAAACATATAAATAATTTATTTTGACAAAAGAATATAATTTGTCATTTAAGCAAAAAAAATCAATTATTCAATAAAACAAATCAAACCCCAAAAAAAATACTATGTAAGTCTTTTTGGTACCCACATCATTTTGATACCACTAGAACTTGGGACATGACCCCTATTATTTAAATTCAAGGCCCTAGGGTTATGAACCCGCTTGGGCGTATTTTGTGCACCGATACGATCAAAACAAAAATTGTAAACGTGACCTATATGATTGCAATTAGTGCAATGTAGAGGTTTGAATGGTTTGCGTTGACCAAAATGGAGTGCACGTGGTTCATTTGCAAAAATAGATTTTTCTTTGTAATTATTTTGCAAACGAAAATTTCTTTTTAAATCGAAACAAAACATGGCCAAATGACCAAAACGACCATAATAATTATTTATGATTTACACTATGTGTGTGTACATGAGTATGTGATGATGAAGCTTGATGGGATGCACAATCATGTGTAGGCTTGTCAATTTTTGGTGCATTATGACAAAATTGAGCTAAATGGCCTTTAAGACCGCAAATAGAACATTTGTGAATTTTGTCATACATATGTGCATAGTGAATAGGTTTCTTGGAAGAATTTACATTGACCTTTGCACATAAGTCCATAAGCTTTTTATTATTAGCAATACAAGTATTTAGTATTGAATCTAAGGTAGATATTCTTTTTCTCATTTGATTCAACTCATCATTGTGCATACAAGTATTGCTACTAGAAGTAGGATAAACAAGATTACTCATCATAGATTTCAACTTATCTACTTCTAACATAGCATCATGTTTTTCATGAAGCAAACTAGCATTTTTAATTTTCAAATTTTCATTGCATTCTTTAAGAGTTATATTTTCATTTGCAATAAAATTAAACTTAGTGGCTAGTGTTTCATGAGTGGATTTCATATTTACATACTTACTCTTTACATCAATATAACAATTGTGTAATTTTTCAAACTCAAGAGCAAGTTCATCAAAAGTAATAATATCATCGTTATCGCATACCTCACTAGGGTTATCACCTAGTGGTATTGTACATAGGGATGGGGCTTCCTTAGAACTCAAAGCGGAATTTTCCAACGCTTGTTGAATAGCCTCCAATTTTCCTTCATGTGCTTCAATAAGTTTCCATAAAGCATAAGCACTATCAAAATTAGCAAGTTTGTTAGAAAACGATGAGTGAAAAGCGCTAATCAAAAATCCTAGCAAAATTAGACCCTAGAGGGGGGGTGATTAGGGTCTTATGCTAATCTAATCCCAATTAAAAGCTAATTAAAATTATGTTGATCAATTTGTTCTTGCAAGAATGAATATGATATGAATATGAGCAATAAAGATGAATAATATGTACGCCAAACAAAAATACAAACACACGATATGTTCACGATGTTCGGTCCCCACGACCTACGTCCCCGCTCCTCACCTCGAGGAGATATCCACTATCACAATCCGGTTTGGAAGCCGGAACTTCTACACACTCGGTTTACAAGTTCACCGAAAACTCTCAAACTACACAATCACTCAACAAACACACTTTACACACTAAGTGTAGGAACCTAGCCCGTGGCCTCAATACAATGATTTGTTCTCAATTTACAAGTGAGAACACATTAAAGCTCACACTCACTATATCCCACACTACAACCCACAATATATAATATGAGAATATCAAGCTCAATAAGTGTGTGTGATAATAGTGAATGAAACTCAATAAATATAACTCAATGAATATAGCTTAATCAAATGAAAGTGAAATAATAAGCTATATAGAAAAGAGTTTAGAAGACTTCTCAATAAACAAGAAGAGTTGAGGAAATGGTGATCTCAATAAGATTTGAAGGCCTCTTCTTGTTGTAGAAAAACTTCTCTTGAAAACAGATTGATGAAACAACTCTTAAACAGCTCTTAAACGCGATTAATAACTTGTTAAACAACAAACTTGGATTTCTTGGTTGTTTTAGAAGAAGAGCAGCAATGGAGTATATATAGCACCCCAATACAACAGTTAGAAATAAGTAAAAGACCAAAAAGTCCATTTGAAAAACTAGCCGTTAGGCTCATTCTGACAACTCGTCGGTCGACCGGTACGGTCGACCGATTAGTTCAAAAACCCAGAGAAACGAAGTTTTAAAGCTGGCGGTCGACCGACGCAAATTTCGGTCGACCTAATGGAAATTTCGGTCGACCGACGGAAATTCCGGTCGACCGGAAAAACTCTGGAAAATTTCTCAGAAACAGACTACCTGTCGGTCGACCGTACCGGTCGACCGAAAACTGATATATGTGAAAATTCAGGTTTTGGGGCTAGTTTGAAAATCCAGAAAAAATATCAAATCAAGTTCAAAAATAATGAAACTTTGGGGAAAGTTTCTAGATGATAAAATAAACATGTTTGAAAAAGAATTTCTGGAAAATTAATTTTAGTTTGTGAAAACTACCTGTTTTTGAAGAATGCTTAAAAAACCTGTAATTTTATGAAAGTGAACTTTGATATAGGACTTGTAAATATTCATATATATATTGTGCATATAATATATGTATATAGTGAAGTATGAAGGAGCTGTAAACATGAGATAAAGTATTTTAACAACGTTTAATGAAAAATCATCTATATGATAGAAAACGTCAAAAATCGTGTTAAGTGTATATATATTGAGCTTAGATATAATCATACTATATATGTAAGTAAACTAAACATATACCTAGGTAGATCCACGCAAATGAACTTGAATCTTTAACGCTAGATTAACGCGTGTTGAAATACCTGAAAAAAAGAACATAAACACAAAACACTAGAAAACTTATTAGTAATAAATTGTTTGTCAAATCATCATCAAAACTATAGGGTCAACAACGCAGAGTCGGGCGCTCGCTGGGAGTTGAAACGCACAGGCCGTGCTGTTTTTTAGAGATGAACTCTGCATTTTAGGCTGAAAACGCAGAGTTAGGCCTGTTTTAGGCTGAAAACGCACAGTTGGGCTGTAACTCTGCGTTTTGATGTTATATCACGAGGATAACCTCTGCGTTTTGAGGTTATAACGCTGGTTCGACCTGTGCGTTTTGACTCTGTAATGCAGAGGCGAACCTTAGGCGGGCTTGGCGAGCTTCAGGCTAAGTCCAATGTTCTGACAAAGTCCGGTCTTGCAGACGGACTTCAGAACATAACTTTCTGCGAAGAACAGGTCATAACTTTCAAACCGTACGTCGGAATTGGACGAATTATATATGAAAATCGGCTATCTCGACGAGATGGAACCATCCGAACCGAGCCAAAGGCTTCGGTTTGCTTCCTCCGTTTCGCCAAATTCCTTACGGTTTGAGAGATATCTGCGTTTTAATATGAAGAGACCGTCAATTTGTAGTCTCTTTTGCTAGAGCGTTGCAAAGATCGTCACCTTGTAACCTTCGCCTTGGCTCCTTGAAAATATGAGAGTCATCAGATTGTAACTCCTGATGTCGATTGTGAAGGCTGTTGAATTAGAGCTTTCATCAGTTGTCGTGAAGGTCGTTAGATTGTAACCTTTAGCGATCTACGTGAAAATCCTCAAATTGTAGCCTTCTGAAAGTCGTCGGATTGTAACTTCCGTCATCGGTGTTTGATGGGGATCAGCTATCTGTTGTGATTTTTAGACAGCCTACACAATATCTCGCATTTTAAAAGTGCTACAGTGTTCTCGTGTGCTACAGTAATAATGCTACTGTTCACAACAACAACCATAAGTTCCTTGAATTGCTACATCATCTCGCATTTTTTAAATTGCTACAGTGTTCCAGTGTGTTATAGTAATAATGCTACTGTTCATACTACAACAATTATTTTACTGTTGAATTTACTGTAGCATGAATAGGAATTCTCTGGTCCTCTTATTTGTATAAAGGAATAGATGTGAACTCTCACTAGAGTATCATCTCTCAACTCTTTCAGCTCCTTCACGAGTTGATGATGTTAAAGGTTAATAAACGAGTTAAAGGTATGATAACTGCTAATCATTTTATAGATGTGGAGGTTATGTACAATTTATCCTAGTTTATGATGAGCGTCTAGCCGTAATATGCGGAAAAAGGGTCCATCAAACCAACTACTTCATGGCTTCAGAAGTAAAAAAATTTGTTACCGCATCCGACCGAAATTGGACAGCACTGCAAGAAGTAGCGGCAGCCTGTAAACTAATCCAAATCAACATGATCCTTCACGATGCTGCAATATCAAGGGTCAGCTATCTCCACAGAGACAGCATGTGACCGCTCTCTTTCTCCCCACTCAAGCTCGTGCTCTGCTCCATGGCCCATGTAAGCTGCCTCTAAAAAAACCCAACAAAAAAGGGGGGAAAAGCAAAGCAAATCCAACAAAGAAAATGGAAGAGGAGATGGAGGTGATGATGATGACGCCGACAGCGACGATGACTAAATCCACAGAGAAATCAAGAAATCCAATGGCCGGTCCCACCGACCCACCATCCTCCCCAATCTGGAAGCTCTACGATAACCCTCACTACGCCGATCGCGTCCACAGACACCACCATCATTATTCCTACGCCTGCATAACCAAATCGAGATCATCATACCACACTCGCGATCTAGGATCTTTCTCTCGCCCCATGAATCGAGACGTGAACCTCTCAGATCTCGACAACGCTCTCGCGGAGATCAAGGAGCTGAGGGCCGAGCTGGAGTTCGAGCGCCGGATGAGGCGGAAGGTGGACGCGCTGAACAGAGCGCTGGCGAGGGAGCTGGAGGAGGAGCGGCGAGCGAGGGAGGCGGCGGGAGGGAACGCTGTCCGGGCATGGCGGAGGAGAGGACGCGTGGCGAGGACGCGAGCGCGCGATGAAGGATGGTCGAGGACGAGCGGAGCGATGACCTTTGAGGATTTGGGCGGAGGCGATGCGGGAGGAGAGGGTTCAGATGAAGCTATCGGAGGCCAAATTTGTTATGGAGGAGAAAATTAAGGAGATGATGCCCATCGTTGAGCCAAAAAAGAACCAGAATCAGAGTCAGAATGAAGAGAGGAAAGAGATCGAGAATCCGCATATAAAGAGAGCGATTAAAGGGATGGAGTTCCCGAAGGCAGTTCGAGTTCGATCGAGCTCGTCGCCGGGGTCGAGAGAGGGCAGAGGAGGGCATCAATTGGGGTCGAATCTTGAGTGCCAGAGAGCGCAGCTTAGGGTTTTGATGCGGCACAAGAATCCGGCAGGGTCCGGGATGATTGGGGCCGCTGAGAATATGGTAATGTGAATGGCGTAGGATTTGGGGGTGAATGTATTTGGTGTTTTGATTATGCAAGCAATAATTTTGTTGCAGTTGGTTAATGTTATGTTGATAGTTTGTGCATGTTGATGCACTTTGTTGTAATATTTTGGGAAAGAATTACTTTGGCTTTGGATCGTATAAAAGTTCCCTCGAGAAGATACGAGATTTAAGTTGCCCAGTTGCTAGTCTTGAAAATGTTATTGCAGAATTTGTGGTGGTCATGATTTTCACGCTTCAGATAGTTTTGCGGCATCCATGGATCTGAGAAAACATACGAGTTTATAGGTGAGATAGGTGTGATCGAGGTATTCATGGATTGAAAATTAAATCGGTTTCTCTGTTTCTCTGTTCATTTTCCCCATAAATTCTGGGATGTTATTGAGGCAATAGCTTGGTCGCGTGATATGATTTATATTAACAGACATGTTAACCTCATGTCGGCAAAGAATATTAAGGAGGAAAAATGACACTACGTAAGGCTTCATATCATTTTAGCCTTTTCGCGGAAAGAATGCTCTGCCACTGCGATGGCCTGCGCTTGAAGAAGAGGGGAAGGGTCGAAGAGGGAGGGAGGATGGTCAGATTCAAAAAGGAAGATGGGGGTTGGGGGGGGGGGGGGGGGGGGGGGGGATTACTGGTGAGAAATGGCCTCCTACTCCTTTGTTGACCATTGCACCCTTAATTTCTCCTCTCACCATCTCATGTCGAGCGTCAGGCGCAAGAGAGAGATAAAGCCTGAGTGCGAAGAGAAGGACGATGATGCGAGATCGATGTAAGGCATGCAGGAGGCGAGCGTGGTGATGAGGACAGCGGCTGAGGCTGGAGCAGTGAAGGAGAAGGAGAAATGTGAGGTAAAATGTAATGAGAAACGAACGCATGTAAACGAGAAAATAATTAAGTTAACAAGAAATAAAAAAATAACGAAAAATAAATAAATATATGGATAGGCAGAAAAATAAAACTTTTTTTTTTGGAGAGAGAGGATGGAGCATTAAACCAATGCTCTAGCATGCTAAATTAGCAAGGATGGTTGTTACAATTTTTAGATCATATTCCCGACTTCAAAAATATGGTCTTACTGATAGAAGTTTTACGCATATGACAAAAGCCCACACATCCTTTATACAAACAACAGAACATAAAGCTATAATAGTTAAAAAAAATTCTGACTTCTCCGTTTAGGAATAGCAACACTCTCGGCTAGACCATCATCTTCGAGCCTATCCATTGTTGGTACCACCCCACTAGCAGCTCTCCTTCCAGCCAAACCCCTATTCCTTTCCTGCAATCGGAGGGCCCTAGCGGAAATTGTTTTATGACCTGACCAACAAGTTGAAAAATGCACAATCTTATAAAAAATGGACAAATTTTCAAAACCAACTCCTTTCAACATTTAATCCTAAAAACCGACCTATTTTGCACTTAATTTCAAAAATCGACCTGGTTTCAGCCCTGGCACTGAAACCAAGTCGGTTTTTGGAAAAAAAAATTTGAAACTTCACGGGAGTTGAACTCCCGTGAAGTTTAGTAGGTTTTTAACAATTTGCTAAAACTTCATGGGAGTTCAACTTCCGTGAAGTTTTATTGGTTAAACAAACTTCACGGGACTTTAACTCCCGTGAAGTTTGTAACATACCAAAAACTCCACGGGAGTTGAACTCCCGTGGAGTTTCAGTCCATTTTCCAGAGAGCCAATTCTCGGAAATTTTTTGACTACAACTCCACGGGAGTTCAACTCCCGTGGAGTTGTAGACGCCTATTTAAGGCCTAGCCTCGTATTCACTCATCCTGCACCCCTCCTCACCCGTTCTCAAACTGAAAACCCTAACCTCTCTTCACCGGTCCTCACTGCCACCAACTTATCCTCACCGAGTCATCATCTCTTCCACGCGTTCCCAAAGACCGAACCCTACCGTTCCCACGCACCAACCGCGAGGCACGGCCACGTCCGCCACACCGTCGCCGAAGTCCCTATCGTCGGCGGTCATCATCCTCACCAGAGTAGATCGTTCTCGTCGTCGTCATCGTCGGAGATCACCGGAAATTAGGAAAATTTTAAGGTAAAATCTTTTTAAAAAATTTTCTCCTAAATTCTTGTATATTCTCACTATATCATGATGATTACTTGGAAAAAAATTAGATTTTAGAAATTATTTATGAATTATTTTTATGAAGAAAATTTAAATAATTTTGTGTATTTAGAGGGGAAATTATCAAAAAATATAAATGTTAGTTTTACTACATATGTTTGATATTGATATATGAATTTGGTTAAAATTATGGGTTTCTAAAATTGATAAGATAGGTTTAATGGTAAGTAACATTTTTTAAAGTTTTTTTTTGTGTAATATTGATCATGAATTTTTTACTCTTCAGAGGTAATGATGAACAATCAAACGGTAATTCTTTGTTCATATGATGGAAAGATTAACTATCTCGAAAATAATATGCTCATTTATAAAGGAGGTGTGACGAGACCGTTGTTTATAACAAAATCGTGTACTTTCAATGAATTGGTTAATGAACTACACAAACTTACATTAACCAATTCACGTGAGTATCACCTCAATGTTATTTGCAATTATCCTGTTATGGGGAACAGAACAAGCGGCATTCAAATATCAAGTGACTATGATATGGGTCTCATTGGAGTGTTACACGACGAGGGGCGTTCGGTCGAATTATTTATTGAAAAACATCAGAGGAATTTGGGCAAATCATTGAATAACAACGGAATGTACTCCCGCATGTTGGAGGACCTTGAAGTTGACTCCGTCTGTTTTTTATCTCTGCAACAAGATGAAGGTTGGACACAATGACAATACATGAGCGGTCCTTCGATGGTGGGCACTTCAAATGCTTTCGATACTAACATGGCCCATCAAGAAGATAATGCAAGTATCGAATCCGAGAATGATGATGAAAATGACGGTTTACAAATTAATAGCATGACGATGATAGATCGTGATGAAAGGGACAACCAACACATTGACGAATGTTGTACTAATAATGAGTATATTGTCTTAGAGCATCCGCTACCCGATGAACTCCAAGCAGAAGAATAGATTGATAACTTCATGATCGAAAATGTTCATATTTGCACTAATAGCGGTGATGCTACACAGGGAGAGGATTTCTCATTCATGAAGGAGGATCTTTTTGAAAGTATGGAGAAATTAATTTATGCGCTTCGCTCATATGCCATTGCCAAAAATGTCAAGTTTAGACCAACAAAAAATAACACAACAAGCTATAATGTGGTTTGTTTTGTTGGCCTTCTTGTTTTGATGATGATTTACAAACAATTTACTACTAATGTTGTTTGTCTAGTGTTTGTGTTTCCCTATGTATTGTAGACAAACAACGTTGTTGGAGGATGGATGGAATCGAGCCTTAACGATCATATCAAATGGAGGTTGGCGAAATTGTGGAGTGAAGCAACATCAATTCAAGTTAAAGATCCAATTACAAGCTTCTTCCGCAAAGTTTACCAAGTCATGCTCAATGAAGATCAAGATCAAGCTTGGGTAATTTAGTTTAGGATTTATATTATGTGTGTTAAGTACTCTAAGCTCAATTATCTATACACACGCATTTATTGGTTTCTTTGTATATATATATAGTTATATATATATATATACACATAAGTTTTGGTTTCTATGCATATATATAGTTATATATATATATACATAAGTTTTGGTTTCTATGCATATATATAGATATATATACATACATATGTTTTGGGTTTTCATGTTTATATATATGAAATTATATATTTCATATTTTCTATTGTGTTTTTGAAAACATTGCATAGAATATGTAATTTTGTGAAAATATTGTATTCTTAGTTTGTAGACTTCAATATCAGTTTATACATGTTTTACGAAGTCTATAAAAACATTTCACAAAGTTTCAAAAGTTGGTTTATGTCAAAACATCAAAATTCAAGTATCTCATATTTTCATGTTTTGGACTATTTTGTAAAATGATGATATTTTTCATTTGGGAAGTCCTTTTTGATAACCAGTCATTGTAGCATGTTTATTATCATGTCTACAATCATTCCCCAAAGTTTTACATTTTTTGGAATTTATTTGATATTTTTAAACAGTGTTTTAAAATCAGCAAAACAGCTTTCAGACTTCATTTTTCATGTATCAGATTTCGGTCGACCGACCGATCATTTGATCTTTCTTCACTGGGCGACAGAGACCGGTCCGGTCGACCGAAAGCTCCATCGGTCGCCCGCACCAGTCGACCGACGATGGTCCAGTTTGTTTTCTTCGTGTTTTTGCTCTCATCGGTCGACCGACAAAATTTCCGGTCGACCGACAATAGATCCGTTAGACACTAACGGCTATTTTTCTAAGCTGTCTTCTGGGGACTGTTTTGTCATTTTGTTTGGGGTTTTTTGTTGAGATCTTGAGTGGGTATAAATACCCAATTACTGATCTCTTTTCAGGTTATCTAAGAATGTTTTAAAGAAGTTTTTAAACAAGGGTTTTAAAAAGAGTTTAAGCTTGTTTAAGCTTGGTTTAAGGGTATGGTTTAAAGCAGGCTTTTATTTATAATTATTTGTTAATTATCATTTCTATTAAAGCTAGTTTTATATTGAGTTTAGATTTGATTTTATATCTCATTGTTACACACACCCACTTGAGCTTATTGTATTTGCATACATAGTATATTAGGGTTGTGAGAGATTGTAACATTGAGTTGTGCTTAATTGAGTTCTCACCTATTGTAGAGAACAAATTTATATTTGTTACATTGTGAGTGTTGTTAGGTTTTCGGTGAGCTAGAAACCGAGTGTGTTGTGAAGTTTTCGGTGAACTAGAAAACCGAGTGTGAGGAGTGAACGTTGTTCGGTGAGCGTTGAAAACCGACACTGTGTGGTTGTAAACGTTATTCGGGTGAGCGTAGAAAACCCGGTCGTGATAGTGGATTTCTCCCCCGGAGTGGGGATCGGAGACGTAGGACGGAAGGTCCGAACTCCGTGATCATCTTTGTGTGTTTGTGATTGTCTTGGCGTCTCACTTGTGCTTATTGTTCATATCATTCTTGTCGCCATTATCTATTGTTCACATTGTCCACTATCTTGTTTATCTTGCTTATGTTTATATCACCCTTAGTTTATATATCCTTGCATATATATTTCATCATATAGGATATATCACTTTGTATATATTGCATATTCTTGCACATAACTCTTTGTATATCTATCTTGCAAGAATATATTTGTTAATTAGTTTTAATTGGCATAAAATCGGATTAGATTAGCATAAGACCCTAATCACCCCCCTCTAGGGTCTAACATGTTTTTATCGTAAAGATGGTGAAAACGAAGATAATGGTGGACACCATGATGGCAATGTGAAATGTCATTGGAAGCTTAAGCCACGTTCGGGAGTAAGAGTAGGTGGGCATTTCAAAATCACGGCATACAACGGACTCCACACATGTAGCAATCCTCGATTGGAGATTAATAACAAGCATGTGTCCTCTTCTTTTATATAACGATTGATTTTACCGTATCTAAGGGAGGATCTTGATCTAAGACCTAAAGATATTTGTCTTTTAGTGCATAAAGCTACCAACTTAGATGTATCATACAACAAGTGTTGGAATGCTAGGAGGAAGGCGATGATAAAAATATTCAGGGATTAGGACAAATCTTATGAGATCTTACAATATTATCTTGAAGCACTCAAAAGAGAAAATCATGGGACTGTCTATGAAGTTTCATCAGACCCTGTTGATGGTGGAGAACGACGGTTCACATGTGTATTTTGGCATTTGGCCCTTGTATTGAGGGTTTCCAATATTGTCACCCTCTTCTTCATTGATGGCACCCACTT